ATATATATATATATATATATTGTAGTCTTGGGAATAAAGCAGGATAATATTATTGATATCAAAAGAGGTATAAATACATGATACAAGGGATATAAAAAAAGAAAGATATAAGTACAAAATTTCTCTTAATAACACTCAGAAGATAAGAGGAAAATGCATAAACTAGAAAATACATAGAGAAAGAAATAACAAAAAAAGCAACCAAATAAATAGAAATAACTTCTAACACTACCCTTCAAGTTGAAGATACACATCAATCATATTCAACTTGGATTTGGATTCAAACAACGGTTGGGGAAGATTCTTCGTGAGAATATCTGTTAGTTGACCAGTGAATGGAACAAATGGAATACAATTCTCCCCGAAATTGAGCTTCTTCTTGATAAAGTGACGGTCAATCTCAGCATATTTAGTATGATCCCGTTGGACCGACTTATGAGCAATGCTGATGGTGGTTCTATTGTTACAAAACAGCTATAGAGGAACAGAGACCGGCATACATAACTCGCGGAGCGAGATGCGCAACCAAAGCACTTCACATACCCCTAGGGACATAGAACGAAATTAGCTTCAACATCGCAACAAGAAACCATGAACTGTTTTTATTTTTTCCACATGACAAGGTTTCCTCACACAAAGAAGCAATAACTAGGGGAAGATCGTCAATCATGTACAGACCAGGCCAAATCGGCGTCTGTATAAACTGCAACAGAGCGAGAGTGTGACAAAAAAAACAACAAACCTGAGCCCGAAATGTCTTTCAGGTAATGGAGGATCTGATGGACAGAGGTGAGATGGTACTCGTAGAGATCAAGCATGAACTGATTAACAATATCAAAGTATGACAAATTTTCAGGCACATATGGGCTAGATAAATGAGTTTCACCACAAGTCATTAGTAGTGTGTCTTGTTCACCAGAAAGGCATTAAAAACATCTGCCAATTTCCCATTGTGACCAATCAGAACAGTAGTTGGTTCGCATAGAAGCAGATTTGTCTCAATTAGTAAATCTCACATATTGGCGCTTGAAAAGGCTAATGCCCCAAGCGGATCAAGCTACTTTCATACATAGGAAATACCGAAGTTAACATAAGTCCATCTCAAAAGATGCAGCCAGAATAGCTTTGAGATATTTCAAGATACGCAGATCATTACCTGTTAGTACAATGCCGTCAACATAGACGATGGGGATGATAATACAGTCATCGGCTGATTGGCGGAAGAAAGTTTGATTAGATTGGGCCTACGAGAAACCATAGCCCATAACAAGTTATGTAAATTTGAACTAGGCCCAAGGGGATTGTTTCAATCCATAAATAGAATTTCGTAGTTGGCACACTAGTCCACTGAAAGAGGTTGAGTCAAAAGCCGACTGAGAGAGATATACACCTCTGTAAGATCATTGTTAAGAAAAAATTTTTGGCATCTAGCTGAAGTAAGGACCAAATCAAATTCACGGCAAGGGATAACAAAACTAGAATGATGTTTTTTTTAGCCACCGAAGGATATGTCTCTTCATCGTCAACTCCTCGGGTTTTTCTGAATAGTCTTTAGCGACAAATCTCACGTTGTTACATTCAAAGGATCCATCAGAGTTAAATTTGATGTTGAAAATCCATCTGCAACCTATTGTTCTCTTTCCTCGAAGAAGATCGACAATAACCCATAGATGCTTATGCCAAAGGGCGCTCATCTCTTCCATAACTGCAGACTTCCAGGATGGGCTAGCCAATGCTGCCTCAATAGTAGATGGGAGACAACAATCCGTAAAGGGAGTGGCAAAAGCTTTGTAGGTCGGATAAGCTGTGAAATGACATATTTTGTCAAGGGATAAAGAGTGCATGCCTATTTGATACCTCAATGGGGAAATTCAACTCCTCATTCGGAGTAGGAGTGATCCCTGTAAGTTGAGAGAGCATCGTTCCAAGGATGTTGGCCGTAACAGATTTCGATTTTAAGATTTATTGTAAAGAGATGAAAAACTAACATGCATATTGATTTATTTTTCTTTGGTTACTGTAATTTAGAAGTGCGATTACTCCTATATTACTTTTAAATAATTCATTATGTTGCATTGATTTATTTTAGATTTTAAACATTTGAACAAGATGAATAAAAGAGCAAATGTGTATAAGATGTGAGAACAACAACAAGAAAAGCTACAAATTTCTACTTGTTAAAGGATGACAACAAGATGGGATGGGTTTGGGTGGTAGGCAACTACAATATAATAACAAAGGGGATGTGAAAAACAATTTTGGTTAGAATATTGTAATTAATTTCAATCAACAACATTCATGCAACTCAACTTCAAGAGTGAATGTGGAAAACATAACTCTATCGAAAAAAAGCATTTGATGCGTAATAGAAAATTCACGACGGTAGATTAATGGATTATCGTCTTAGCGTTGCACTGGAATTCAACACACACTCAGATAAAAGAAAACAAGCTGTGGTGGCACCATAATTTTTTACGTGAAAAATCCAAGAAAAGTAAAAAATCATGAGGCCTGAACTAGTTGTGAAAATCCACCATAAATTGATGATTACAGAGATCTTTTGTCTCATATACGGGAAAGGGTTCCAAAGTTTCTGAATTACAATCTTTATGTGTGAATGAACTTGTTGTAAAAAGTGAGTGGAAACTGATGGCGATTGGTGGAGGCCGGCAGGTGGTGGTCAATATCGGTCGGTGGTGGTCAATTGTGGTCGGCAATGATCGATGACAGTTAGTCGTAGTCAATGACGATCGTTGGCAATCGCGGTGGCAAGAGTGATGCTGGACTTCAACTCCTTCTCAAAGCTTCAAATTCTTTCATAAGTCTCAAGCTCTCCCTCATCATGAGAGGGGTGGGGCTCTATTTATAGTATTCTTGGTGTATTTAATGCAAGAATATGAACCACTTTGATTGGACGGTCCGGATAGCTTCCTTCGATCAAACGACATTTAATGAACATTTGAGTGAGTTAAAGATGTCAAAATAGAGCAATTTTGGGCTCGTTGGATTCGTCTTGTTGAGATGCTTGATTCGCCTATAGGCTTGCTCGATTTGACATTCGTTTGTCCTTTTAAATATGTCTGAAAAACTTTCAAGAGTGGTTTAATGACTTGATCTAAGCTTGATTTAACTCATATTGGGCTAATTTTGATATTATTGGGTCTGTCTCATCGACTCGATCAGTTTGACTATAAGTTCGCTGAAATCAAAGCTCGGGACGACTTTTTATCAAGATTTGAACATTTTTTGCTCAAAAAGTTATCTTAAGATCTGTGTGCCTCGAGATTCATATAAGATGATGAGAATTTGTTGGAGTATCAGTTGCCCCTCATTTTTGGGTCAGACTATTTTCATCATCCGAAAATATTAAAATTTCGAGCATTTTATATTTTTATCATATATGTATTTATATAATATTACATCTGAATAGAATATTAGTTAACGTGCATAGGTTAAAAATCATGCGTAACTCATTGGTTGGCATGTTCTGCTTCTTGCGGCTGGGGATCGATTCAAGGCAATGCACATTATACAAATTTCTTTAATTTTTTGTCTATAAATATACAAATTTTGGTGATATAAATATATAAGAATTATGGGTATGAAATTTTCATATATATATATATATAAGAATTATATGTAATTATGGGGATTTATCAAATTTTATGAAAAATGTAAACAAGGGATTTTAAGAGATTGCATGAATTTAAAAAGGGTGCATATATGAAACATGGGAGTTCTCTATCTAGTTGAAGAAAAACTCTGTACAGTGAGGGGCTCTAAGGAAGCTTTATTTTCGACAAAGATTGCTCCTTGTTTAGGAGTGATTTTCAAAGCATTGTTTTTTGAATGAAATGTGGGATGACTACTCAACCACAGTCGTGCCAGAGACGTTAATGTGAACGACCTTTCGAGACTACAGGGAAGGCTGCCCCCCAACTTGAAAAGATTTGTGAAAGACTTTGTGTATGAATAAGATGTGAGAAGACAACCAAGCTACAATCATGCCCAGGATGTTAACGTGAATAATCTTTCTGAGACTGCAATGAAGGTTGCCCCCACATTTGAAGAATGCTTCGGAAATGATCTCGAGGCATGACATTGATCTAAACAAAACCGTGCAATTCTTAACTAAACAAAACTGTGCACTTCTACACTAATTTTGAAATGAATTAAAGCAAGCAGGCCAAGCAAATGATATTACCACGATGCTAAACCCTTACACAGCAAACAAACAATCAATCGCAACAACAAAAAATTGATAAAACCAATTACTTACTCCTAACTTAGCAAGAAACCAATTACAATCTTCAAGTCAAATCAACAACAAAATGTGAAACGATCAGAGATTAAAAATGAAAAATAGACCTTTTCTTTCGCTGGAAGAGCATGGGAGGCAAGATCGAGCACCTGCCCCGCTTGGAGAAGGCCCTCCCTTCTCTTCTTCAGGAGATTATCCTCTCTTTTGGTCTTTCTGATCTCAACCAAAATGTCCACCCTCCTCCTCCTCGCATCCTCCCCATCCACCCCACTCTTGTATTCCTTCTTCCTAACCGCAGCTCGAATCGAAGGCCGGAGAGACATCGCCGCCGGTTATAGAACTCAGCCTCCGCTGGCGTGAATGTCGAACACGTAAGAGAAGGAAGGAGGTTGGAGCTGGAGGTTCCAACGGCTAGAAAGCAGGCATGGATACTAAAATGGGAAACTAGCCTGGTGTAAACGAACAAAAATATGCGTCCTTCCTTATAACTGTATTGCTAAATTAAATCCCATTTTTTATTTCAACAACTTTGATTAATTCTCCACTAATTTCTCAACTTCTATTTATTTATAAACACTTACTTTGATAAAATCTTGTTTCCTTTCAATAACAAATGATTAAGCTTGTGTGCTATTTCTGATTTATAGAATCCAACTTGAACTCAATTAATCAATCAAGTTCATGTCAAGGTGGTTATACCTCTTAAATGTATTTGATATATCATTGTACCCTCTAAGTAGTCTACATGCACATTTGTTATGGAGTATACATTCACATTTATTAGAAATATGCACCAAATTAATATTGAACCAAATAGACTTTGATTTATATCAATTGCTTCCATGCTAATAGACTTCAGCATCATATTGTGTGACACCAACCAATCATTCATAACAAATCGTTTGAACATCTTAAACATGGGTTGGGAATGTCGAACTCTTATGATTTATCTCATTTGTATTTCACCCTATTATGCCTAAATAATTTGCCATCTCACTCTATTATTTAATTAATGTCCTAGAAGATGAAGTACAAATTTGGATTTTAAACCAAATGAAAGAGATGTGTGTGTATTTTACAGGTACGGGTAAATTATAGTCTGGCCAAGTGCCTAAAATGTCAAAAAATATAGACGACCATTTTACTTTGCATCCATTTCTTTCGTTCAGTTCAAAGATGGAAGATTTTTTCTCTTAATATGACTAGGGCTGCAAATGAATTGAGCATTTGATAAGCTACTGCTTGCTCAACTCGTTAAGAGCTTGATCATTTTTGCTTGATTAACTAATTAAGCATGAGCACTTTTATAAATGCCCGATTATTAAATGAACAAGCTTGAATAAAGTACATCAGAAATGTGACTGCACAAATATCAAAGAGACTCAATAGTTTGCACGAAGAAAGCTGCAAAGGGTCGAGCTATATAGTGTCATTTCAGTCGGTCAAGTCATGAGCCAACAAAATAAAAGTTTGTCCAAACCAAAAAATGTCGCGCACCTAAACCGACGATAAATTGGACGACACCAAGGCATTCATAAAATCAATGATTCCTTAGCAGAATTCTCACCTAACCTTCTATGAAGATTTATCATCCGATGAAAGGTTGCTTAGATTACGGTGATGCACCCTCTACTTGATGGAATAACCCTTCATGAGAACAATAAGTTTTCATGATAGATTCCCTCAGAATAGTCGACGGAAGGCCTGTAAGCTGGTCAAATGACTTTTAGTCGATCGAGCGAAGGCCAACCAACCAAACCAAACTATTACAAATATAAAATAGTGGCAAGGACAGTTACATATACGGAACGGTGCCAGCGGCAGTTACTAAGTTCAAAAGATGTCAAAATCAGTTACAATCATGTAAAGATGTAATGACTCATAAATTCATTGTAGTGTTTCTATTAAGTGAGAGACAATCATGTAATTTTCTAAACCCTCCTATGATCTATACATATAAGGGTCATTTTCACTAAAAAAACTACTGAATCTATTCCCAGAAAATTAACATTATTTGTTTCTTACTCTTTCTTATGTTTCTTCTACTTGGGTGTGACCCAAAAGTCATTTTTGGATTCAACAAACAACTTCTTGTTTGATTTATTCATGTTCATGAATAAAATCATTCCAAGCTCTTGAATAATATCGTTAAGAAGCTCAAAAAATAGTTTCATTTATAATTTATAAACAAGCTCGCAAATAAGCTTGATTATGCTTGTGAATAAGATAACATTTTTATTCATAATACACAAAATAAGATAAATGCTTGTAATTTTGGTTGTCCATTTATTTTGTGGTTTGTATGCTCATTTTAGTTAATCATTTAGTATCCATTTGATTTAAAGGCTCATTTTCTTAAGTTCAACAAATAACATCTTTATAACCTTGATAAAGTTTGTTTAATAGAAAATAAGTAACTCAATCGTAGTACACATTACTTTTTTCAATAAGATTTGTTTAATTATCAAATAAATAACTCAACAACACTTTTATTAATTTATTTGATAAAGATCGTTTGGTTAAAAAATAAGTTGTTGTTGACCTCACTTTTAGTTGAGGTCTAGTCTTCCTTTTTAGGGACATAGGATCTAGCCATAGAACTTTTCTGTTGACTATTCCTAGAGGACTAGTGATGGTACCCTCATCAATAGAAATTCTAAACTCTTCTTCGCTCATCTTGAAGTTCCACATGTTGGTTCTAACCTCTAGCACTTAATAGGTGGGACCAATATGGGGGAGCTCAAGAGGAGTTCATGCAGGACTGTTTGGCCTTAGGGTTAACCCCGGGTCGTGTGGTCTTGGTCAGTCTTGCACACATACGCTCACACTTGCCCCACAACCTAAATACTAACCCAAACATACCTAGCTTGATCCTTTAATCTATTGGGTGGGGGTAATTTCCATATCACCTGGATCTTAGCTCGATCTACTTCCATCGCCTTTTTCAAAACCTTGTGACATAACATTATAACCTCGATGCCCATAAATTGATATTTCTCCTAATTCAACACCAGAATGGTCTCTTCATACCATTATAATACATTTGCAAGATTATTTAGGCATGAATCAAACCAGGTGCCAAATACAGAGAAAGTATTCATGAAAATCTCTATCCTAGTCTCTATCATGTTAGAAATGATGGGCATCATGTAGTTATAAAAGGTGACTAGAATATTAAATAGTCTAGAAGGCATCCCTCTAAAGGAAAAGGTCCATAGACGTTCATGAACGTTAGGGCTTTAAAAATCTAGTGGTAAACTGAGTAGCCATCTACAAAATAGAAGAAAGAGAGGTTTGTTGATCTATCCAACCTCTAGTCAATAAAAGACAAGGGTGTCCAATTTATTTTTCTATGTTTGTAATGGTTATAGATTTTCTTTGTAATTGGTTCCTCATTTGTAAAACTAGCTCCTTTAGGTGTGACTTCTTCTATTTAGGTTGGCTCTTTGAATGAAACTTGTGTAGGTGAGGTTGCCTCTAATTATTATTATTTTGGCTATTCCAACTAATTGTAAAGTTATCTTGAGTGTTCTCCCACTGTTGGTTTCCTACACCATGATCCTACACCAAGTTTTCTAACCTAGGTTGTAGGTATTAGAGTATGAGTTATTCATCATATTACCTATAACAATGAGGGTCTCTAAGGTCATGGTATTAGTATCTCTTACTAGTTCATAACTCATCTCCTCACACGATAGGGATCCTTGCACTAAATTTATCCCAAATTTATCTAACTTCTTAGTAATGTTAGCTACTTGTGAAGCAAAGATAAAAAAAATATCAATGTCATGCACACTAGGGACCTTTTTTGGGGTGACTCTCTCAAAAGGAAATTGAAAGCTATTGGAGGTCATTTCCTCGATTAGATTTGTATGCCTCATCAAATGGCATCAACGTCAGAAATTCCATAGTTACAGTGTCTATGATGAATCTTAAGAAACCTACCATCTCATTTTAAAAGCTTTGGATGACAATAAATTTAGGTAGGAAGTGGTGTGGGCATTTCCTCAGTAACTCCTTGAATATCTCCAAGTCTTGAAAATTGACTCTCGATCGACTTGGGTGAATGATTTAATGTCATTCCTAAGCTTGATAGTCATAGATGGAGGGACAAATTTGGCCAAGAAATTTTGAGCTTGATGAGTCCAAGTAGTAATGAATCTTGAGACTAAGCAAGCAAATCACATATTAGCTCAGTCCATGTATGAGAAGGGGAAAAGCCTTAATCTAACAACATCATTGGGGACATTGTTATACCTTAATATGACACACAATTTTAAAAAGCCAACTAAATGCATGTTAGGGTCTTCAGTGGGTGATTACCAAAACTTGTTACTTTGCACCATTTTTATTATAACAGATCTTAACTCAGTTGTGTTGGCTTCTACAGTATGGTAATTAATGCTCATGTTGATCTCTTCTACTGATATATTGCCACACTCTTTAAGGGGGTTCATGTGATTATCCTAAGTTTTCCTCATCTCTACTTGTGTCTCTTTTAATTTTTAAATTCACCTAAGTTTTCTAAGGGTTTGTTTGCTTTCTAGATCAAGTGACAACAGTTCACCTAAACTACTCCTATGCATGCAATGAAGGGTGTGTAAAGGCTACTCCTTCAATAACATGAAAAAATGTGACTAAAGATAGAAAATAACACACAATGAACGAAAAAAAATGTAAGTAAATTTTTTTTAGTTTTTTTTTTGGCATTTTGGCACCTATACCAAGAATGAAAATGCAAAACACAAGTACAACATGATAAAGCACAAAAAAAAATAAATATGTGAAACAAAAAAGGTTCAAACCTAAACTCTAAGTTATCCAACCAAAATACTCCTAAAGTTAAAAAAATTCTAACACCTTTCCCAATCATTGACACCAAAAACTTGATGCTTGAAATTATTACAAGCAAGTTGGTCAACCATACACATATATGTGTCGATCAAGTTATATATAGATATCGACTTTGTGTATCGATCCCACCAGGAAAGGGCAAAAAGGTCCCTAATAGTGTAAGCTCTAGTTTACTACACTATTGAACCTAGTTTAAAGTGATCTCGGTTACAGGAATGAAATTCAAACAATTCTAGGAGCAGCCATCAATAGAATATGAGACAAAAAAGAAAACGAAAAAAATTAAGGAGTAATTTTGCTTTCTTTAGAAAAAGTAAGGCTCATGCTCCTGGACTAGGGTATAGAGTTTTCTTGTAGTTTTTCCTATGAATTCCCTTACGTGATAGTTGACAACTAGCGGAAATATTCTTCTAGGCTTATATCTAAGTTATTAAAAGAGTTAGAAATCATATTATAGCCATGCAACGTTTCTCATGATTCTTCGGATCCTTAATATAGGTTGTAATTTCATAATGACAATATGTTTTTTTCCACAAGTAAAATTGAAAAGGCTTTTATTATAAAGAAAAATATTTTGTAGCCTTAAAGGAGAAGCTTGATGTTAAGCTTAAATTTTAAAATTGGCACCAATC